TATGAAACAAGTCGTACATAGATGAAAGTGTTGCGATTTTAAGAATTCATGTCAGCTTTAAGGTCGATAATTTTCATTTTATTGCAAAAGAATGTGACCAACATTTCTGCAAAATAACGTGAGCTTAGAATGTGCGTTGAGCTGTATATATGCTGGTACATGTATACAGTCTGACAAAACGACATGGAAATGAACATCAATGAACTACCTGTTAATGTGAAATCAGGTTCATCAAAGAAGAAGTGAAGAGGTGGATAACACAATTTTTAATCACATTTACCCAAAAAAGATTTTTAAAAACTATGATGATGTTCTAAAGCATTGATTAGAGAGACAATTACGTCACGTTTTATTGATTCATGGTTAGCAAGAGGCCAAGTCATAAAATAGTCTTTTTAACCAAATTGAGTAGTTTCGACTTTAAGAAATTCACAGCGCAAATAACAAGAATTTGCCCTTGTTATTTGTTACCTTGAATCAGTATAACTTAATCTTTATTAGGGCCCCGCAAGGATTTGCGGGTGCCCTATAGTAATCACTCTGTCTGTCCGTCTGTCCCTCTTCCGTCCACAAATTTTCTGTTTTTTTTCTAATAACTTTTTTTATGGTTGCCCAATCCAGTTCAAATTTGGTATGGTAGTTCAGAAGGCAGAAATACATATTTTGATGCCAAGTTTGGTTCTCAATGTCTTCTGGTTATGAGCTGGGGTGGTGGGGTAGATTCCTTAACTATGCATAAGAATGAACGGGCAACTTTTTTTATGGTTGCCCAATCAAGTACAAATTTTGTATGGTACTAAGTTCAGTTGGCAGAAATACATATTTTGATGCTAAGTTTGGTTCTCTATGTCCCCTGGTTTGGATCTGGGGTGGTGGGATAGATTCCTTAACTTTAGAATGCATTGGCAAAGAGAGATAACTGCTGAAGATGTTGGCATTGTAAAATGAATGCTGGCTATGAGTCCATAGGGATTAATTAGCATTCCTCTTGAAGAAAATCCAGAGCATTATCTTTATCTGTCACATTGAGATGAATTACCACCTCTGTCTGCAAATGAAGTTTGTTTTGAAGTTTAGTCAATTTGGAATGCTATGAACACTGTGAAATGTGGATTTAGATATAAATTTTTATAATTTATTTTTGTTTAATAGTTATAATTTCATTAAATTCTAAAGACAAGAAATAGATTAAAGACAGTTTTTTTATTTACTTTTTTCTCTTTACGCTAATTAATTTTTAAGGTAGTTTTATAAAAACCCCATTCTATCATTAATACTGAAAAAGTTCTTATTGTAACTTTAGAAGAAAATGACGAGAGAGGTACAATTAATCCTTTGGGATCAATTATCTAGCCTGCTGCAGAAAATTTAGTAGGCTTTTCTTTATCTTTAAGATTAATGAAAACCTTTGTCTGCAACTGCTGTTTTTTGAAGTTAAGGTCAAGCCTTCATGATAATTTCATTCATTGAAGGCTGGCATTCTATATAACACAAGCTTCATAATTGTTTAATACATTCAATGTTAAGTTGTTCTTTGCTGCCTAATGTAAATACAAGGATATTATTTTCAGGATTTTGAATATTCAGGAATTATCTTGAAATTTTAAGAATACAGTTGCTGTTGCTTATTCTTCGTACATTTTTTAATCATTCCATAAGCTGCACCCTTTTAATTCTACCCCATGGCGGGACCCTTGCTGACTGGTCAGTTTTCTAGTTTGTTTAACTTGTTATCCTTACAATACATATAATCAGAACAGTGCCTTATGGAGCATTAAAACTGATTTCTTTGTCATTCTTGCAGAAGGAAAGGAGAGATCTCGAACCCCATTCAAATATTCAGAAAGACACTGAACAATTACAGAACTATTGTTCAGATGAAGATCAAACTGGAAATTCAGAAAGGCACATCAACACACATGTAAGTAAAACGCCATGAAAGTGTAGTTCAGATCACTTACAGAGACCTAAAAAGTTCTCAAACCAGGGAGGAAATTTTTAAGTGTGAATTTTGTGGGAAGGCATTGTCTTTATCAGATGACTTTGCTATCTACATGAGGAAACAAACTGGTAATGTATCTTATTGTTGTAATGCATGTGAAAAAACTAGGAACCAATTAGGTACCTTACAGAGAAATACGAGGATACACACAGATAAAACACTTTATAAATGTGATGTATTTGAGAAGTCATTCAGTGAGACACACATGAGTACACGCACAGCTGAAAAGCCTTATAAATGCGAAGTGTGTGAGGAGGCATTCAGTTGGCCAGGAAATCTAAAGAGTCACATAAGGATACATACTGGTGAAAAAACCATACAAATGTGATGTTTATGGAGGAATTCAACCAGTTACGGCAATTACAGAATCACATTAGGAAACATACTGATGAAAAACCTTACAAATGTGAAGGCATTCAACAAGTCACAGAACTTAACGAGTCACATGAGGATACATACTGGTGAAAAACATTATAAATGTGATGTGTGTGGGAAGGCATTCATCCAGTCACAGACCTTAAAGAGTTACATGAGAACACATATAGGTGAGAAGCCTTATAAATGTGATGTGTGTGGGAAGGCATTCATCCAGTCACCGTACATACGGAGTCACATAAGGACACATACTGGTGAAAAGCCTTACAAATGTGATGTGTGTGAAAGGAGTTTTTCTGGAGAAAAAGCCTTACATGACCATATGATTATACATACAGGTGAAAAACCTTATATCTGTTTTGTGTGTAGGAAGGCATTCACTCGTTCAAGTGACTTACAGACTCACATGAGGACACACACAGGTGAAAAACCATATACATGTGAAGTGTGTGGGAAGGCATTCACTCGTTCAAGTGACTTACAGAGTCACAGGAGGATATTACATTTAGATGATAAACCTTATAAATGTAATATGTGTGGAAAGGCATTCACTCGTTCAGGTAACTTAAAGAATCACATGAGGACACATACAGGTGATAAACCTTATGAATGTGATGTTTGCCAGAAGGCATTTAACCATCCAAGTAATTTATTGAATTTAATTAGGATACATACAGGTGATAAACTTTATAAATGCAATGTGTGTGAAAAGACATTCACTCAGTCAAACATCTTACAGAGTCACATGAGGACACATACTGGTGAAAAACCTTATATACATGTGATGTGTGTGGAAAGGCATTTTACCGTTCAAGTTCCAAGCTTAGACACATGAGGAAACATACAGGTGAAAAAACTTATGAATGTGGTGTTTGTGGACAGACATTCAGAAGATCAGATACCTTACAAAAACACATGAGGATTCATATAAACGAAGTTGGCATAGTCAGACAAAATGTCATGTAAATGAACATCAGTGATATACCTATTAATGTGAGCTGTTTTCAAATCAGATATATCAAAGAAGAAAGTGAAGAGACAAGTAACACGATTTAATCAAACCTGTCAAAAAATCCTTAATAAAAATCTCAATTAATTTTGATATTATCCTTATAAACAGTAACAACACTTTGACCTGTGTTGACTAGCAGCGTAGCAAAGAATGGGCTTAAATCCCAGTTAGCTACATAGTTATGATACAAAATTAGGATACAGAAAATCCCGTTTTAGCTCACCTGAGCCGAAGGCTCAAGTGAGCTTTAATTCTGATAATATTGTATCCAGCGTCCGTCTGTCTGTCTGTACACTTTTCACATTTTTGACTTCTTCTCAAGAGATAATTGGGAATTAATGAAAATTTAGTGGTATGTTTTAAAAATCTCCTTCTTAAGAACCACTGTGCCAGGAAAATTTAAACTCATGTGTAACCATCCTCAGGTAGTGTAGATTTAAGTTTGTTCAAAGCATGACCACCGGGGGTAGGGCAGGGCCACAGTGGCCGACCAAAGTTTTACAACATAGAAATATATAGGAGAATTCTTTAAAAATCTTCTCATGAATAACAAAGCTGTAATTGATCCTATTTATATGGAAGCATCCTCAGGTAGTGTAGATTCAAGTTTGTGCAAATCATGACCCCCAGGGGTAGGGCGGGGCCACAATGGCCGACCAAAGTTTTACATAGATATATATAGGAAATTTCTTTAAAATTATCTTCTCAAGAAGAACAAAACCATAGCTGGTCATGGATTTACTTTTGGATTTAAACTTTTCAATGATATACCAATTTCTCCTTTTTCCTACTCACAGTGCTCAGGTGAGCAATGTGGCCCATGGGCCTGTTGTATTTATTTAGTCGTGTTTAAGTTGTAATACTATTTTAAGTCGGCATTTCAAAATCACTAGTATTACATCTCGCTAAAAATTAAATACCCAATTTTAAGGACAAATCACTACATTTGCGTCGCACTGAAAATTCCACTTATTCGGTAATTTAACATTATTTTCAAAACTAAGGAATTGTTTTTAAGCAATATATTTAGAATAGATTTTTACTTCATTGTTTTAAAGTATAGAAAACAAGACACATCGGTTTTTACCGAAATACGTTTTGAATATATCGTATTATTCACCTGTATAGTGGAAAAAAAGAGAAAGAAAAAAGGAAAGTAAAATTTTGTTTTCAATGGAATTCATTTAAGTCTAATTTCTGATTTTTCTACATATAATCATCAAAAAACGTAGCTTAACACACTACTTAAAACAATTTTTGCTAAATTTACAGATGGAGAAAGAAGTCTGGTCATCCAATTCACAGATTCAAAGTGAGGCTGAAGAGTCAACCAGAAAAGCTTTTCAATGTGATTTCTGTTTAAAGAACTTCAGCCTGTCCAGTAGCTTAATCAGACATAAAAGAATACATACTGGAGACAAACCTTACAAGTGTGATGTGTGTGGGAAGGCATTCACCCAGTCTTATACCCGTCATGAACACATGAGGATACATACAGGTGATAAACCTTATAAATGTGAGGTGTGTGGAAAGGCATTCAACAAATTATGTAACTTATACTGCCACATGAGGACACATACTGGTGATAAATTTTATCAATGTGACATGTGTGGGAAAGCTTTCAGTCAGTCACAACATTTACAGAAACACATGAAAACACATGCAGGTGATATACCTTATAAATGCAGTGTGTGTGAGAAAGCATTGACCGATTCCGGCTCCTTAAAAAGACACATGAGGATACATACAGGTGATAAACCTTATACATGTGATGTGTGTGGGAAGGCATTCAACCAAGCACACAACTTACAGAGACACCTGAGGACACATACAGGTGATAAACCTTATAAATGTGAAGTGTGTGGGAAAGCATTCAGCCAGTCACCACACTTACAGACTCACTTGAGAACACATACAAGTGATATACCTTATAAATGTTACGTTTGTGGAAAGTTGTTAAAACGGAAAGATACCTTACAAGTACACATGAGAATACATACAGGTGATGAACTTTACAAATGTGAAGTGTGTGGGAAAGCATTCAGCCAGTCACAACACTTACAGACACACTTGAGAACACATACAGGTGATATACCTTATAAATGTCACGTTTGTGGAAAGTTATTCAACCGGAAAGATACTTTACAAGTACACATGAGAATACATACAGGTGATGAACCTTACAAATGTGGTGTTTGTGAGAAGGCCTTCAAATATGCCACCAATTATAAAACACACATGAGGACACACACAGGTGATAAACCTTATAAATGTTATGTGTGTGGAAAAACATTCAGTCGGTCATATACCTGTCATGAACACTTGAGGATACATACAGGTGATAAACCTAATACATGTGTTGTGTGTGGGAAACCTTTCAGCAAAGTAGGTAACTTAAACTGCCACATGAAGATACACACAGGTGATAAATCTTATCAATGTGATGTGTGCGGGAAGGCTTTCAACCAATCACAGAACTTACAAAAACACATGAGAACACATACAGGTGATAAACCTTATAAATGTAATGTGTGTGAGAAAGCATTCAGCCAGACAAATCACTTACAGACACACATGAGAATACATACAGGTGATAGACCTTATAAATGCAGTGTGTGTGAGAAAGCATTCAGCCAGACAAATCAATTACAGACACACATGAGAACACATACAGGTGCTAAACCTTATCAATGTGATGCACATTCTGGTGATAAATCTTTTCAATGTGATGTGTGTGGGAAGGCATTCAACAATTCAGGAAACATACAGAAACATATGAGGACACATACAGGTGATAAACCTTATAGATGTGATGTGTGTGAGAAAGCATTCAGCCAGACAAATCACTTACAGACACACATGAGAACACATACGGGTGAGAAACCTTATAAATGTGAGGTTTGTGATAAGTTATTCTCCCGGAAAGACACCTTACAAGGACACATGAGAATACATACAGGTGATGAACCTTACAAATGTGATGTATGTGAGAGGGCCTTCAAATATGCCACTGATTTAAAAAGACACAAGATGACACATACTGGAAATAAACCTTATAAATGTGATTTCTGTCTTAGAGCATATTGTAAAAAGTCAGATCTAGACAAACACCGGAAGATACACACGTGTGATTAACCTGTTATTGAGAAATTCAAATATGAATAGCTAAAACATAAGGAAAATATTCTATGCAAAGGAATTTAATAACTTATAATTTACCCATATTAACCGCACCTGCCTCTATAAGCGCCCCTAGGTCTTTTTCAATTGTCAGGAAATATGGCCTCTTTACAGTGATAGAATCATCTACAATCGTATTAAAAATCTGATTTAAACAACCAGTTATACAATCGAAGTGTTTCTCCGGGCATGTCAGATAGTTGTACACTCATAGAAATATTAAGATTGTTTTACATTTAATTTTTCTTTCACATTGTCATTATTCATTTAGATACCAACTACCCCCCTCTCCAATGTTTTCCAAAGATAACCTTTTTTACCATAGATAGAGATGTTCATTAAACCCCAATACTTTCTGTTTGTTAAAGAATCATTGGGAATAAGGCGAGTGAAATGCCCACACGGATTTTGTCGCTCTGTAAGCATATTGAAAATTTCATAACCGTACGATTTACCAAACGTTTAACTCTGTACAGCACTGTCCAAATGACGGTTAAACCTTGCAGTACATGCCATGCTTTTCATACTGTGTGTTAATTTGTTCTATCAAATATGTTTTCAGGTGTTGGGAGATGGTTTTACATTTCCTTTAGGGTGAATTCACCATGCATCGGACGCCATTGTAATTCAACAAGTTCTAGAGATGTCGATCCCGACGGAACATTATCAAAATGGAACTTAACATTTATTCTGTGAATAAAATATAAATTTGGGACACCTATATTTGCTTGTAATTGAGAAAATATTATTAAAAACCTACTTCTAAAAAATGACTCGGAATTCACCATGGATTGGACATCATTTACCATGCATCGTACAAATCTTATTTGAACCGGAAAAATGTCGTACCTTGATCACAGTGCTTTATAATTATTGATATGAATATACTTGTATTTTTTATTTAAAAATTAAACTTCACTTACATTTAATTGACGATACCATTGTACAAATATGGAAAACTGCAATATGCCTTACTTTGCCTTAGAAAGGCTTTAAAATGCTTGTAATGCGGTAATTCGCGCTATTTCCTCACAAGTTAAAATACTCTGGTTTGTAGAAATGAATTAAATCAAATTCTAGACGTTATATATCACTAATATGTATTTTAACTGAAAATTTAGAGTTTTTATTATCTATTTCCGCAAAAAACGGCTGTCAGTTGGGTTCTGTATGAAAATGGTGGTCATTACCTATGCATCGGAAAGTGTCCGATGCATAGTTAATTTGTGTCTGATGTACGGTGAAATGAGAATACTAGTAAAAACTAGCTCTAATTAGAATTAAACAAACATTAAAATGAAATTTCTTTATAATTTATGCAAAATTACCAATAATTGACAAAATTCGCCAAAGTCCGACTCGTTCCGTCGAAGTCGAATTTAAAGAACGATAACTCTAAAAATTGCAAAATCATAAATTTCTGGTTACCCCCCTTTGATGATGTAAAATATGACGTAACTTCAAGGCCATTCTCGGGGTATTTTTATCACAGCATGGTAATAACAATCGGCATTATCAAAAAATATAAATCTTCGACTTCAAGACGAAACAAATAAATAAATGGAACTCATAAGTTGAAAGAGATTTTATTGCCTAAAGTTGTCCGAAGCAAGGTATGTGTCCGATGAATGGTTAACTCACCCTAACTCTTTTTGCATACAGAACAGCCATATCGTTTTTACCAATGATTGTTTACGTTATAATCGTGTAGTGTATTTTTGAACTGAATGCATTCAAAATGTTATACATGTATAATTATCTTTTGAACTTGTTTAGTACAGGAAATATATTCAATGAAGGTAAATAAATTCATTATCTTATTTTTTTATTTGTTTTTTTTTTTTAGTGAAAAAATTTATTTATAAAGAAAGGGTGGTAGGCAAAGTAAACGCAATGGCAGGTTAAATATCAAATTTTAAAAAATTCTTACATATTTCACTTTTTGTTAAATTTGATAGTTATTTATAATCATCTGCATACAGTAAAGATAAAATTTGAACTTTATGATTTAGAAATTGGTTGTTATTAACCCAACAAAACGGTAACTCGCTTTAGTAACCGATAAACTGATAGAAATTAAATGTTAAAATTATGTTTTTTTAGTTGGCTTTCTAATGTTTTTGTAAAAAAATATTAAAATGGTAGGGAAAGGGAAAATTTCCCTATCACCATTTTCAAAAAGATCATACGAAGACCCACTCTATAAAAAAAAAGTTAGTCTTCCGACTTAAGTTTCGGAACATATTTCAATATCTCAAAGTCCAATTGTGTTTGCTTTACATATAGAAGTGTTTGTTATTTATGGGTAATGTATATGCGTGTTGAAGCACCCAGTTACATGTTACAAGTGTTTGAATCACGATTTGTATGGAATATACCTTTGAATATTTATACTTCTTAATAAATTCACGATTCGTAAAAGGAGTGTGTCCCCCATTTCCGTTCCCATTTTTGCTACTCTGCAGACTCGTATAAAAGGGGAGGACTTCGTCACTGTTCAGTGTAATCAGTTGACACCGTTGTATACTGACGTATGCTATATAGGACTTGGTAGCGAGAATATTAACGTATTACTTTGTCTGGGAAAGTAAGATACCAAATAAATTTACGATTTTAGTTGTACAGGTTAGTGCTTTACAATCAGAATTAACACACTGATACTCATGTAACTGAAATAAAATGTAAACAAATTAATTTAAGATAACCAGCACGAACGGGGGTTTACCCCGATCCCCGTGACAATAAAACAGTCAGGTTTAACAATGGACGAGTATTCGTTTCACGTATCGTAGATAATGCTATCGAAAATTGCGTGTGCCTATTTTGGCGTTGTGTTCAACTTTTTTAAGGACATTGGCAACGTTTCTGGCTTTTCACGAAATTTTCAAGATTTTTTGAAAATATTTAATGGTTCCAAACATGTTTAATTCAGGTCCTTTTAACCAATAAAGCCAGCGTTCCTTTGTATTTTTTTCAAATCAATGTTTGACAATTTTCAGTGCATTTCCTATGTTATATGTTGATAAAAGGGGCCTATATTTTTTTTGCCATAAGTTTTCTCAAAAACCCAAATTTTTTTTTTTATTAGGTTTATGCATAAAAAAAACATTGATGAAATCTCTTTTCCGTTGACATGCACATATTTGGGGGAAAAGGGAAAAATTTGAAAGAAAACAAAGAAATACCAGAACTGTTTTTTTTTAGCTCTACTGGTCAGAGACCAGAAGAGCTTATGCGATAGAATGGCCGTGTCTGTCCGTCCGTCTGTCTGTCTGTCCGTCTGTAAACAATTTTTAAAATGCTACTCCTCCTACTTTTTTGGTTGATTTCAATATAACTTGGCACACAAGTAGACTACACTAATATACGTTATTCTGTGCATCGGTTTTGGATTTCGATGAAAGATGTTGCCATGGTTTCTAAAAATAGAAATTTCTGTGAAATTCTTTCAAAATGCTACTCCTCCTACAGTTTTGGTTTGATTTCAATATAAATTGGCACAAAAGTAGACTACATTTAGTTCAAAATTTCTGTCATGGTTTTGGATTTAAAAACGGTTTGCCAGGTTTCTAAAAATAGAAATTTCTGTGAAATTTTTAAAATGCTACTCCTCCTACAGTTTTTCCAATTTAAAAAACTTCACAAAAATAAATACTCTAAGGCCATAATTTGTGCATGGTTTTTTGATTTCGATGAACGATGTTGCCATGGTTACTAAAAATAGAAATTTCCGTAAAATTCTTTCAAAATGCTACTCCTCCTACAGTTTTGGTTTGATTTCAATATAACTTGGCACACAAGTAGACTACACTAAGTTACATAATTCTGTGCATTGGTTTTGGAATTCGATAAACGGTGTTGCCATGGTCACTAAAAATAGAAATTTCTGTGAAATTCTTTCAAAATGTTACTCCTCCTACAGTTTTGGTATGATTTCAGTATAACTTGGCACTCTGTATATTACAGGGGTAAAATACCAAACCCGTGACGTTATAACTGATGATAATGCAGTAGCAGAGTGAAAATGAAACGTAACGAAAATTCATGTAAACAAACGCAAGAAATCGGAGTTTAACACTTTACAACGTACTGAACTGTTATGCAACAAACACTAAATGTTTACGTCATGGAAACAGAAATTTACCATTTCCCCGCAAGCACCTTTTAGTGTGGTACACGTTTCTCTAAAGTTTAGCGTAAATAATATTATGATGCTATATTTCAATAAAAAAATAACTTTTCTTATTTGATGAGATTTTTACAATTTAAAAGAAAAGTAATAGTCATTAAAGTAAGGATTAAATGAACTTTTTTAAGTGTGTGAAATGCGTGATTGGGGGGAAAATATATGAGTGATTTTGGGTTAGAAATAGGAAATGGTATAGATTAAAATGCGTGAGTGGGGGGAAAGGGGGGGTTTAAAAGCATTTGAATGAATTTCATGTGTGATTCATGTGGGAATAAAGCTAATGGATAAGGTATGCTAATATAAATTTAAAGTATTTTAGAATAAAAGCAGAGAGGGTGTTTACTTGCCGATCGGCCTTTTCTCTGTCCACTGTAGCGAAAAAGATCAAAAGTTCAACAGTACGCCGCATACTTTAAAATTTAATTTTTGTTTTTATTAGCTCTACTGGTAAAAAAGGCCCCGGAATCATGAAGCATCTTAAGCTTAAGTAAAAAAATGTCTTGTTGCTGACATTTTTTTGAGGTAAGCAGCCCAAAATGAAAATGCTTTCCGATTTTGTTTCATCAGTCTGCTGTTGTATGCAAATTATGAGTTTCCTTTAACAAGTTTTAAAGATTTTATAGTAATTTGAAATTTTGACTTAAGTCTAAGTCTGTTCATGATCCCAGGGCCTGAAAGCTTATGCGAAAAAAATGGTGGGTCCCCTCCGTCTTTTTTCTGCCTTGTCTGTAAACAATTTTTCAAAACGCTACTCCTCCTACAATTT